TACACGGTTTTCCAAATAAGTTTTTTTTTTGTTTTTTTTTTTATCGCACTATACTAAATGCTACTGTGATTGAACACATGTGCTGTGTACACATCTCACGAGGAATCCCGAGCTTATGTGCTGACTACATATTTTAACCTGTCAATGCATTTTATTTCTGTGTACACCTATCCCCCGATTTATACGTTTTTCTCAGGAACGTATCTACCGTGTAAATCGGGGGATAGGTGTATTATAAAACATTTTATAGAAAGACAGAAATGTCCGAAAACTCGAGAATACGTTTAATAAAGATAAAAAAACCTCATCTTCAGAAACTTAGAAACTTGTAGCATTTGTTTTTTGATTGATATCCAGGAGATTTCAATTTATCTATATTTATTTATTCTTCCGATATACCTACCCTATAGCCACTTGCCAAACTTCTTCTATGAACAAAACTGACTTTTTATTTAGAGGCCGCGTATAATTTATGTTTCTACTAGCCGAATGACCCGGGCAACGCCCGGGTTTTACCCGATTAAATTCTTTTATTCAAATACTATTCGTTACAATTATAAATTGGCGCCGTGGATATCATTCTTGTATAATATATAAATGAGTTTTAAAAATTGTAAAAAAAAGGCCATATTTGGGTATTTATTCCATTCACAAACGCAAACGGTGACAGAATTGATTAAGAATTGCTTGATGACTCTGATACTTGTATATTTTAATACTGTTGTGTATGTAAATAGATGAAGATTATTTGCATTCTTTAAAGCCACATTATGTAAGAATATATGTGTATATAAATTGGACATTTGTTGTTGGCCAAACGAAAAGATAAAGAGCTAAATAAAGAGTCATGGTCAAGTTTGAGCTGTTGTACGTCTAATTACGACACAGCATATACAATTACCATAAACCCGAAATATGCAAAATTTACCAAACATATATATTTAAAATTAATAAAATTATTCTTCTGTTTCATTCAATTTAAATGTATTTATCTTCTATATTTAGTATATTTTGGGTTTTATGGCAGTTGTATAGAGGTATGAAATGGTGCCTCTCTCAAAAAACAGTTTAGTTCCCTGAGGAAGTTTGACGAGTGTCCACACGATATATTGGAAGAAGGTTTGAGATCTCCATGGCCCATATTCAAGGCTTTACCAACATAGACTTGATGTTTTATATCCCAAAATTCAGACAACCACCTACCAAACTCTACCTTTCAACTGCCAAACTCCAGATTTGGTGTCCTAAACTCCATACATTATCCTTATAACTCCAGCTTTCACAGACCAGACTTAAGGTTTTCACTTCTAAAATTCCCCAGTTCCAGGATTCCATGTCCCAAACTCCAGATTTTGTATCCTCAACTCCATCCATTACCCTTTATAACTCCAGCTTTCACAGACCAGACTTGAGATTTTCACTTCTAAAATTCCCCAGCACCAGGATTCCATGTCCCAAACTCCAGATTTGGTATCCTAAAAATCTATCCATTACCCTATAACTTCAGCTTTCACAGACCAGACTTAAGGTTTTCACTTCTAAAATTCCCCAGTGCCAGGATTCCATGTCCCAAACTCCAGATTTGGTATCTTAAACTCCATCCATTACCCTATAACTCCAGCTTTCACAGACCAGACTTAAGGTTTTCACTTCTAAAATTCCCCAGTGCCAGGATTCCATGTCCCAAACTCCAGATTTGGTATCTTAAACTCCATCCATTACCCTATAACTCCAGCTTTCACAGACCAGACTTAAGGTTTTCGCTTCTAAAATTCCCCAGTGCCAGGATTCCATGTCCCAAACTCCAGATTTGGTGTTCTAAACTCCATCCATTATCCTTATAACTCCAGCTTTCACAGACTTAAGATTTTCACTTCTAAAATTCCCCAGTGCCAGGATTCCATGTCCCAAATTCCAGGTTTCACGGGCAGCGCCCCGCCAGGAAAGCCCCTATTGATCCTCCGCTTGTGAATGCTCTCGTTAATTGTTTCCTCATTGGGAGCAGTTGAGGCCTGTCCAATGGGAGGCTTGATTGGCTTAAGTACCTAGTTATATGGTGGGACATCCGGCCATGCCCGCAGCCTTACGTCCGACAGTCCGACTATAGCACGTAAGTCTCTCTTGGCTTCAACCTTATCCTAGGCATCTATCATAGGGTCAAAGGGAACTTTGGTATTTTAAGTATTGAGTCCGAAAACCATTCCATCTTCCTCAAAGCAAACTGTACATGCATTGGGTCAGAAGACCATTCCATCTTTTCCAATTGGGGTGTTAATTGTACATGTATTGGATCCTAAGACCCTTCCATCTTTGCCAAGGGGAGTGCTAGCTGTATATGCATTGGATACGAATACCATTTTATCTTTGCCAATCTGAGTGTTAACTGTACGTATGTAATTTTTATGTACATTACTTATGTAATCTATTGGTTCCGAAGACCATTTCATCCTTGTAAAGGCGAGTGTTAACAGTGCATGTATTGGATCCGAAGACCATTCCATTTTCGTCAAAGCGAGTGCTAACTGTATATGCATTGGGTCCGAAGACCATTCCATCTTTGCCAAGCTAGTGTTAACAATGCATGTATTGGGTCCGAAGACCATTCAATCTTTCCCAAAGTGAGTGTTAACAGTACATGTATTGGGTCAGAAGACCATTCAATCTGGTTACTGCATATATATTGGGTCCGAAGACCATTCCATCTTTGTCAAGGTGAATGTTAACAGTGCATTTATTGGGCCCGAAGACCATTCCATCTTTTCCAAAGGGAGTGCTAACAGTACATGTATTGGGTCATAAGATTATTGAATGTTTGCCAAGGTGAGTGCTAACTGTATTGGGTCCGAAGACCATTCCATCTTTGCCAAGCTAGTGTTAACAGTGCATGTATTGGGTCCGAAGACCATTCCATCTTTGCCAAGCTAGTGTGAACAGTGCATGTATTGGGTCCGAAGACCATTCCATCTTTGCCAAGCTAGTGTTAACAGTGCATGTATTGGGTCCGAAGACCATTCCATCTTTGCCAAGCTAGTGTGAACAGTGCATGTATTGGGTCCGAAGACCATCCCATTTTTGTTAAGGAGAGTGTTAACAGTGCATGTATTGAGTTCGAAGACCATTCCATCTTGGTCAAGGGGAGTGTTAACTGCATATGCATTGGGTCCGAAGACCATTCCATCTTTGCCAAGCTAGTGTGAACAGTGCATGTATTGGATCCGAAGACCATTCCATCTTTGCCAAGCTAGTCTGAACAATGCATGTATTGGATCCGAAGACCATTCCATCTTTGTCAAAGGGAGTGCTAACAGTACATGCATTGGATTCGAAGACAATTCCATCTTTGCCAAGACGAGTGCTAACAGTACATGTATTGGGTCATAAGATTATTGCATCTTTGCCAAGGTGATTGCTAACTGTATTGGGTCCGGAGACCATTCCATCTTTGCCAAGAATATTGTTAACAGTGCATGTATTGGGTCCAAAGACCATCCCATATTTTCCAATCTGAGTGTTAACAGTACATGAATTGAGTTCGAAGACAATTCCATCCTTATCAAGGACATTTGTTAAACTTGTTCAGCGTCCTAAGACCGTTTAAACATTGCTGAAAGCAAAATGCTAATAGTATATCACCTCTCTTTTTGAACATAACATACACACAAAGCTTTATTAAGACCACCGGTCTTATACAGATTTGCCACAGGAAGAAAGGAAGCATAGATGGATCTTCTATACTCCAGGCAGCGCAGCAACCATTCTCAGCATAAAGCCCGAAGTATATTTTGGTAAATTCAGGTAGCGTCTTAGAAAGATATTCTGAACTTGGTCAAATACTTTTATTTTACCCAAAAGGGTGCGGCGTATAACATGTGAGGCAAGATTGTCGAATCAAATAATTTCATTGCCGCATTTAAAGAGTTCATCTTGGATATTGTAAGACCTCCCATACGGCACCAATTGCTGCCAGGGCTTTGCCCTTGTAATATGTAGATACCCTTTTTGAACATAACGAGAGATATTGTCTTCTTGAGCAATGGAGCGAGTTCAGACATTTCAAATTTAAACGATTTAAGGAAAAGCATCTCTGTATGCATCTCTATCTCTGCACCTCTGGAGTATAGGAGCTCCATCTATGCTTCTTTTCTTCCCGTGGTGAATCTGTATAAGACCGGTGGTCTTAATAAAGCTGTATGTGTATATCTATATGAAAGCCTGGAGTATAGGAGCTCCATCTATGCTTCATTTCTTCCTATGGTGAATCTGTATAAGACCGGTGGTCTTAATAAAGCTTTGTGTGTGTGTTATGTTCAAAAAGGGAGGTGATATACTACCTGATGGCTGTCAGGTCCTAGAGAGAGAATGAAGAGTTCTCGGCCATTTCAATTACATCCTATTAGAAGTCCATTAACCGATCTAACAATGATAGACCAACGTATGAACTTGAGAGGCATTAGTAAAAAAATATTTTAAAAGCATTTTCCAAGCAAAAAATCTCTATTCGTTTTTAAAAATGAATTCAAATAACTTCTCTCTCTCTCCTTCTACCACTAAATTGAAAATTTTCAGTTGAAATATTTTGCTACACAACTTGACATCGCTCTGTCTCAGTTTTGATTTTTTTTATGATTTTTATAATTTTATGATTAGTTATGATTTTTTTCTTCGAATCTTACATTTGCAAGACTTAAGAGTTTTCTCTTCAAAAAATTAATTATTTTTTGTATATGAATATTTTTTGTAAGTGTGTACAAGAAGATTGAAAAGGTAGGTATATTATCTCCAAAGTTTACGTCACTCTCTACGAATATTGACGCCGCTCAGTGCTGAAAGGATAGAAAGGTCCTCTAAGTGTCACCATTCAGTGTTACCGCCAATAAGGTAAGCTCCCCCAAGTCTATCCACCCTAAGTACCACCGCCAAAGTGTCCAAGAGTCATCGGCCAATAAGGTAAGTTCCCCCAAGTGTCACCGTCAAGGTGTCCAAGAGCCAAGGACGAGTATTCTGTATTAAGTACTTAGAGCCGCATGAGTATCGATGAATTCTCCTGCTGGCTTAGGTGCTTAACATAGAGGCTCAGTATTCGTCGCTGGGGGAACTTCTAAACGGTAAGTTTCCATCTGCTCAAGGGCAAGGCTCCATATGTTCAAGGGCAAGTCTCCATATGTTCAAGGGCAAGGCTCCATATGTTCAAGGGCAAGTCCCCATCTTCTCAAAGGCAAGTCTCAATCTGCTCATGGGTAAGTTTCCATCTGCTCAAGAGCAAGTCTCCATATGTTAAAGGGCAAAAATCCATATGTTCAAGGGTGAAACTCCATATACTCAATGGTAAGTCTCCAGTTTCTCAAGGGCAAAACTCCATATACTCAATGGTAAGTCTCCAGTTTCTCAAGGGCAAGGCTCAATATGCTCAAGGGCAAGTCTCAACATGCTCAAGGGCAAGTCTCCATATGCTCAATGTTAAGACTCCATCTACTCAAGGGTAAGTTTCCATCTACTCAAATGCAAGTCTCTATCTGCTCAATGGTAAGTCTCCATATGTTCAAGGGCAAGGCTCCATCTACTCCAGGATAAGTCTCCAGCTTCTCAAGGACAAGGCTTCATATGTTCAAAGGTAAGGCTCCATATATTCAAGGGTGAAACTCCAACTTCTCAAGGGCAAGGCTCAATATGCTCAATGGTAAGTCTCCATCTATTCAAGGGTAAAACTCCATATCCTGCGTGTCTGTAGCGAATAATTCCATTTTTGCACAAGGCTGAGATCTCATCTGCAGCGGGAAAAGCTCCCTTAGTAGAAGCCAAGGCTCCATCTACTAATGGAAAAGCTCCAGCTGTAGCAGGTAAGGCTCCATCCACTGAAATTCCATATTAAAGGATAACTATTTGTGTATGAAACAGATAAACCTCGGATAAGTCTTTATCTATTGTAGGTGTCTGGACAAGATATGATAATATAGGCTTTCAATTCACGAGATTGAAGATTCATATGTTTTAGACTTTTTCCGTTCTGGATCAGACTCCTCTGTCAGGTTCGAATAGTATCTGTTATGAATAAGGGT